TGCGCTCGAGGTATTTCACTTCAAACAGGAGCCTGGCACACCACTGCCTGTTGTCTTTATCTTGAGACTTGGGGGTCAGGGTTTCCACTTGCTTTCGGTACGGGGCGGGGGCTTCACTTGAAGATCCTAGCAGGTAGCTTCGGCAAGGCACAGTTACAATATGTTAAGGAGAAGCTGCGTTGAAGGTTACCGGACTTGAGACCTTGACCATTTTAGGTCGATCTACACCAGTGTGCGTCGTTCGAGGGTCCTTGCGACAAAGCTATGCTAATGGAGGGTGCCTCGACATGTGCAATGCGACGTCGAAGTTTCTTTGACCAGCATCAGCCTTGTAGATTTGGTGGCTGAGGGTTCCGTAAGACCGGCTGCGAGCCACGCACGATGCCTTCAACTGTCAGCAACCCCAGCCCCCAAACCGTTTCTGGTCGAGTTTCGTTGTACTCGGCAGCTGCAAATCCCTTGTAGATTCGTCTCACTCCTCAGACCTCGAACCACATGCCTCGCCTGGATTGCCCGAGTGGGAGCGCCGAAACCGTTTTTGCAACTGAAGCTGCTTGGCTCCTGCTACTCACGGTGCTCGTGGCCTTCGCCGCTTTCAATCCCCTCGTATCGGTATGCCGTTCGGGACCCTTCTGATCTGCATTCCACTGTTCCACACTTCAACCATTTATGACGGTTACAGTACCTGGCTTTCATCCCAAGCATGCCTGGACAGGCAGGAGGCAGGAGAGACGCCTTTTTGCCGGCTGATCGTGAGCCCGAAGTACGAAACGATCGCCGCTTGGCCGTGTTTCTACAGAGCTTGAGACATCGGTTTCTACCAGGGCTTGGAAGTTACTGCAAGGATTGCAGCAACACTGGGGCGAAATTTAGGGCCTGTGTAGCGGGGGGTCTTCCAAGCACTTTCGGCGTGGGGCCGGGCTTCCGCATTCGGCCCAGAAGATAGTATGGAGGTTTCTCAAACCTAGGCACAAAGACTGCATCCCACAGAGGGCTACTTGTGCTTTGGTAAAGTATCTTGGAATCTCATAAGTGGGAGAAGTCGAGCGACGGTCACCCGAGCTCAGCTAGTAGAAATTGTTGATGCGCACCTGCCAAACACCGGTTCAGTGAATCGACCTCACAAAGGCTGTGGAAGTTTCCAGATGTTCAGTTTGCACAAGTGAGGCACCAAAAGTTTTCGCATGCCAAGCTGCGAATGCGACCTCTCAGCTTTCACCAGGCGAAGACCTACCTCCCAACGTTGAGAAGGTTCCTCTATTGTCCTAGTGTGCCTAGGCTCCAAAACTTAAATTCCCCCCCCACCTTCAAACCGGAAGCCCCAACCCCGAACCTTGGGTCGGATTCGGAGCCCGTCCAGAGGCCTCGAAAGAGGACCCGGATCAAGAGTTTGTGGTGATGGATCTGACGGTGCGGGACGCTCGGATGCCTTGGCCGATGGCCCCTTGACAGTGGGGCGCGCATTACACGGGGATAACAACCCCGACACAGGATCTTGCCGAAGCCAGTTTTCGAAAGAACTCCGCTGCGATACTCTACAGAAATCCTGGTTCGCGGTTAGATTCAACGGTTAGATTCTGGTTCGAGACATTTCAATGCATTCGAACCCCGAAAGACCCGAAGGAGTAAAGCCTGAAAAGTAGGCCCAATTAGGCCTAAGCCTAAACCCTAGTCTGTCAACGGTTACGAAGCCAAAGATTTGGGAATTTAAGGTAGAAGTTTACAGTGTGAGCCACATATTTTCAAGAGCGGGAACACCTGTGTAGGATCCCAGTGCTTCGTCAGTTTTTCTGCATCTTTCTGCGCGCACCAACTCTGTGCTCCACCTTCTTTGTATGGTTAATCCTTCCCCCTAATATTATACGGGGGGTTCCCTCCCCCAATAGAAACACTGAAAGTGTTTTATTATGAGGGGGTATTTTTATCTCTACTGCCACTGTTGAGGGGTGGCGCTCTTGCTCCTGCTCTGGCTCTTGCTCCGGATTTGGCTGTTGAGTCTCTCGCGCCTGCTCCTGCTCTTGCTGTTGCTCCCGCCTTTGCTCCTGCTCTTGCTCTCACTCCCTATCTTGCTTTTGCTTTGCTCTTGCCGCTGCTCTTGCTGATGCTCCTGCTTTTGCTCTTGCTCGTGCTCCCCCCTAATTCAGATTAGGTTTTCAAGGGCAGGGATGATTTCGGGAGATTCGCTCCAATGTGTGTTTTATTTAGTGATCACCATTGCAATCTTGTGCATATTGCCTCTGCCATGCCACGCTGGAAAATTATTGAGCTAAGCTGCGGCACTTACCACTGCGCGTCCTGCCGCTTTTTTGGAACAGCAATATCGCAGCCATAGTCCTCGCCCCAAATTACTGTAGGTGCTAGCGGAAGGAGGTCAGAACAGGAGCCTGTTTACGACACGAAGTGTTCTTTCTTGGTTTGGTGAATCTGATCCTGGAGGTGCAGGGTCAGCATAGTAGAGGTTTTCGGATCAAAACTTGGGGTTGTGATCGCGGTTAGGAACATGGGCTCTTGCACTGCATTGCGGTGTGAGGATGTGGATACCGTGGCCGATCCCACAAGCATACACTTACACCCGAACCATCACCCACGCAGACAGCACATAACGGCAGCCCTCGGAGAGGCGGTGAGACGGGGCCCAGGGCAAGCTTCAGCCATTTATGCAAAAGCACGGAGAGATCCCGGCACGGGACATTCTGACTGTAGGAATTGTAACTTCCAAGCTCAGACAGAGACCCTTCAAGGAGCTCCAAGGGCCGCTGGCCAGCCAGCTCCACGCGGAAGAGCAGGGGGCGCCCCACCTCGTATTGGTTCCATTTTTTAATCTTTGGCAGTACGCGTTGCTCTTACTTGTAGCTTTGCTGTTTGCTATATGCGAGATAGCCTGCTGAGTTTTCCTGTTGTACTCTAATGCAGTTCCCAGCAGAGGCTTTGGCAGGCTGGATGCAAAAGGTTTCCTGGAGTACTAAGAAAGCGACAGTGTAGTTTACCAGTATCGCTGCTGCCCTCAGTCCGATTCTTGCCTCCCCAGTCCTCAAATGCAATTTTTCTGCGCGACTGCATGCGAGTCTTACAGCAATGGTTCTTCGCTTTCTCGCTCTGTTGTGTCTCACTGAAAATTTGGCAGTAATGCAGCGGTGCGTAGCCACCGCCGCTTGCTCGCACGGTCATTAGTGTCGAGGTAATCTGAGCATACTTCTTGAACCTTTCTTGGCCAGGGTTTTGATCGAGGGGCTTGATCGGCGCCTTGACGGCTTTGCCGGCACCGTGCAGAGTTCTGCCCAGTGCGGGCACTATGGTTGGAACTGAGGATGCTCCCACAGCTTGTCGCAGTACCGGCACATTGTTTTCTGCAGTTGTCAGTAAGTGCTGAAGCACTATTGATAACTTGTGCCTGCTACTGAACCTAAACCCTAAACCGTCAGACGGACGCCCCTGAAGCCAATGGTGCAAGCCTCACACAGCCCACCCCAAGCTCATAAGAGACTTGTACAGCCTGTACCGCTTCACTGGGAGTGTCCCAGTCGACAGAACCCGCAAGGTACTGAAGTAGTCTCAGCCTCTGAACGCCCGAGCCACCAAGCCAAATTCAACTTCTTTGGGCTCCCTTGACTGCTCCCGAGCCTGATAAAGCGCTCGATCAACCTTTACAGCCGACTGTGTAGAACCATATGTTACGTCCCTGAGAATCACCAGGGAAATCTTCATTTCACCCTTCAGCGCCAAGGACGACTCCACTCTAGATGCTGCCTTTCTGCCAGAGGGATGGGCGTGTTCGGGATTTGTGGCAAAGTGTGGTTTTGTTGTAGTAGGGCTTATGAAATTTGTGAAAGGTTTAGACAGGGTCTCGGGGTTTACTTTACGATAGGGGGCGGTTTAGGGTATAGGGCCACTCGGGGTACTGCAAGATGGCCTTAAGTCCCAAGCCCAGTTTACCTATGTTCAGGGTACCCTCAAATGCCAAGCTTCGAACCCTATTGAGCACGGCGTCACAACCCCACAATCCTCGAAAGAAGCCCACGCAGAGATCTTTTCGACTCCCGACGTTTACCACGGGAGTTTAGAACTTAGCGGGCGCAGTTTGTAGACCCGAAACGACATGACCCCTGAACAAGTTACACCTCATTTTCCGAAAGCCCCCCACCCTGAGAACGCTGAGGCGTTTTTTGTGCAGGTTTCATTCTGGAGCCACTTCGGGGCTGTAGAGCGTGAAGGTTTTAGAGCTGACGGTGCCAGGGTTTTGCGGGTCAGGGTGTAGGTATTTACGGGCTTGGGGTTTGTTTTTGGGTGCAGGGTTCCGGCCTGCTAGACCCGAAACTCTTACATCCTCCACTCCGACTCACTCCCTAAGCCTCACACTCCCACCTCTTAAGCTCTAAACAGGACCATGTGTCATGACACATTGAACTCAATTTCTAGTGACTCTAGTCTCTCTACTCGACCTTGCCTGGTCGAGTGTGAGCGTCAAAATTCTGTTGCGAGCTCGTCCTTGACATGCGGGAGGCATGTAGGATTAAAAGTGTTGCGGCCAGACCTAAACCTCCACCTGCACACCCACAAGCCGCAAGAGAAACGCTCCAAGGCGCTGTGTTATGTGCTGCTTGGGGTTTGGCGGTTTGACATGCACTGTTTACCGTGTAGGGCTGGGCTTGTGCCCAAAGCCTTTGCCATGAGACTTGTTTGGCGCCGGGCTCATGTAATTAATGTCCCGTTAGTACGCATATACCACGTACCCCGAGTTGAAGAATCTCGATGATCCTCCATGTAAAGTTATCTGATTATGTAGAACGATGCCAACGACCTTCGATGTTTGGCTCAAGATGAAAAGAAGCTCCGTTGAGCGTTGCTTCTGCTTTTGGGTTTGGGTTTCCTTCGGTTCCCCTGCCCTCTCTTCTCGTTCCTACCCTAACATAGTTGCTTCTGTGTTTGGGGTCGGATTAACTGGTTATCAGCCGTATCTGTTCTTTCGTGTGGATTGTTTCAGGGTCTAGGATTGAGGACCCATGGACAACAACCCGCCTCGTGAGGAAGAGCGTATTCCAAGGCCTATCAACGTGAGACGCACTCGGGCCGGCGCTGCAGCTCAGAGAAAGCGGAAAGCATATCAGCGATATATCTTTGAGCGCGATCAGGATTTGGGCATTTATACCGATCCGTTCGAAGTCCCCTTCCGTCGCCCTGACGGCTCTACTCGAGCCGTGGTGCGCCGTCCGGAGTCGGCTCCTTTTCAGGCTGTGGAAGAGCAATCGGAAGTGATCGTTATTGACGAGCAGGCTCCGGAGACTCCGTCGATCGTTATTGACGAGCAGGCCCCGGAGGTTCCGCCGATCGTTCTTGACGAGCAGGCCCCGGCAGGCCCCGGAGACTCCGCCGCCTTCTACGCCATTCAGTCCGTTTCATCGGCTTCATCCTTCGACTCCTATTCTGAAGGCGAAGACAACGGCTCCATCACCTCCCGCTCCTTCGTCATCAAGCTCTTCTACTCCGAGGCTTTTGCCGACTCCAAAGCCTTCGTTGGCTCCATCGGCTTCATTGTCATCGGGCATTAGACTCCACCGAAGGCCCCGAATCGTGGAGCTAAGGAATCATTGCGAACTCCGCCACCGTCTACTCCATCTTCGTCAAGTGTTCCAAAGACTCCACCGAAGGCTCCGCCTCGTGTGCCAAATCAACCTTCGCATCCTCCACCAGCTCAGGTGCTGCCTCGTGTGCCGAAGGAACCTTCGCATCCTCCGCCACCTCAGGTGACAGAAGTTCCTCGTGTTATTGACTTCCGTCCCCTGCAGACTGAGGTGCTGAACTTTGAGGGTGTTAAGGTGAAGCTTACGGAACCAGCATTCGAGAGATTCTCTTTTGCTTTGAGCTTGGATTTTCACGGAGTATTGGATCGATATCACAACAGGTCGACGAGCTGGACGGATCCAAGGCCCGAGTTCCCTTCGGAGTGTGTGGCAGCCTTGCGCGAACTTCATCCGTTGGTTCCGCGCTACGGGGGTTTATTCTTCGCTTGCAGCTACTGTCATCACGAGGACACCAAAAGGCACGTGGTTGGGACGACAGTGAACTCCTGTGATACTCTGTTCACGCAGATCGGGGAATCGCTTATTTGCCTCATTTTCATTACGAGGAAGGCCACTGGTCCGTTGGGAAAGCGTGCAGTGCTGGAGAAGCTGGCAAAGGAGGTTGGGTTCCCCATCATTCACGTCGACGACTCCGCGGACGTTTGTGACGAGCTGGCGGGTTCTCAGCACGTGATTCCTCTGCATATTGCCATTCCGAAGAGGCATCGCACTATTTTTCCGCGTGCTCCCGTGCCTTCCTTTGACAGCTTTCCGGAGTGTACTGGAGCTATCAGAGGCAGTTGCAGAAGTGGTTTCCGGACGCCTAAAGGTCTGGGGCTGTTCGCCCAGTTGTTCGGCGCTGAGCGCCTCTTCTGGCGACTTCCGTGGCAGTGCGATTCTGGTTTTATTCGGGGCTCGGTGCTCAGCTCCTGAGTAAATTCCGTTATATTCAGTTCAGGGCGGTCTGAAAGGCAGCTTCGCGCCACGGACTCGGTTTCTAGTCTCTTGGTCAGGGTAAGTTTGGCTGCTCAAGCGCCACTACCCGCACTGTGAACGTGTGCATTGTGCCTCGCACCTTGCGCAAAAGGCCTTTTCTTCCGCCTCCCTTCTGAATCATGTCACAATCTCACTGACCCAAGCTCCTTGCTTGACATCTCCAGTGCCTCTGCGGCCGCGGTTCCGGGTATGAGGGATGCCTCTTGTGCCTCAGGGGGTTCAGAGAGTAGTTCTGCCTTAGTTGAACGTGAACGCTCTCCTCCCGCCAATCGAAGAGCTTTAGCCCGAACTCCCAGGAAAGCTTCAGCTCCTTACCCGGTTGCCAATGTTCCTCTCGATGATTCTGGTGTCCCTACTGTTGTTCATAACCAAATGTTCAACATAGGAGCAACTCCTCAGCAAGTCCTCGCCGCTCAGCAATTTGCTGCTGGTGAAGCTGCCAATCGAGTCGCCGCCCAGGCGGAGCTGCTACACCAGGCTTCCATCAATGAGGTACAAGGCCAAGTCAGGGACGTTCTGAACGAAGCGGGGTCCGCTGTTGATCAGCTTCGGGAACAGCTCAGGCTTTCGGAGATTAGATGTGGGGAATTGTTTGAGTACGGTCAATTTGTTGAGCGCCAGCTTGCGGAAGCAAAGGCAGAGTTGAATACGTTGAATTTCCAACTTAATCAAGTCCGAGTAGAGTGCCAGATCAAGGAGAGAGAGATTCAGAGGCTTCGGTCGGCTGCTCCATGCGCCTCGACCTCCGGATCCCCTCCTAAGCCTCCAAAGGCTCATGCTCCGCCCCTCGGTTCTGGGTCTGGTGTTAGTGAAGCGTCATGGACTCACCTCGAGGCTTCCGACCCTCCCACTGAGCGGCTGCTGTACTCGGGTACCTTTGTTCCTCCGCCCGTCTCTTCATGTCCTGTTCCTCCTCAACCCACGTCACCTGTGTCAGACCCTCGCGTGGACCAGCTGATTGAGGTAGTTCAACAGTTAGTTCAACAGGTCGGTCAAAATGCTACGGGTATTGTTGAGACTACTGAAGATGATGAAGTTGAAGAGCAAGAAGCTGTCAAAGAGCTTCGGGAAAAGGACATTGTTGATCAAAGAGCTCTCTTGCATCTCAAGCTTGAACCTGTTCCTTCAGATGCGGCAAGTTTCCGAACTTGGAAGAACGGTTTCAAGGTCCCAGTTGTCCAAGCTTGACACTTCAGGTCAAGGTCTTGTGCTGGCTTGGGTTTCTAGGGGCTTTGATGCTGAGAGAGCTGACTTGCAAGATTCGGAGCTCCTTCCTCGTCTTGATGCATGGATAGCTGGTGAGCTGTCGTCAGGGCGTGTGCTGAAGCAGTCATCCGAACTTGAACAAGACATCACCGCTTACATTGAAAGGTGTAGTCAACTTGGACAGTCGCCCAAAGGTCGAGTGATGCTGTCTATCATCGCAAGGCATTACGACCTCGATCGGGTAAGAGGTTCTGTTCTGACTGCATCAACATTGTTTCAGATAGAGCTTGGCGGGAGTTCCATAAAGGACTTGAGGGACTTTGTGGATCGTATTCGCCTTGTTCTCAGTGCTATTCCGGTCGGGCAACGACCTGACGATCGCCTCACCGGAGAATGGCTCTTTCATCGACTGAAACGCATTCGCAAGCTTGAGCGCGTGATTGAGGACATCAGAGAGTCTGGGGCGACTTCGTATAGGCGTGAGTGATCTTACTTGTGGGATAAAATTCAGGATCTGATCGTTCAGGATCGTGAAGATTCTAATGCGCAATCTGTGTTGAAGTCCCTGCAGTCAGCCACACCTGCTCCGAAAACGAAAGCTGTCCCTGCTGTTGACGGAGGGAATGCGAAGTCGAAGGCTACGCCTCCTGCTGCACCTCCCAAAGGTGCTCCATCCAAGGCTGATCCTCCTCCTCCTCCTCCTCCTCCTCCTCCTCCTCCTCCTCCTCCTCCGATCGCTCCTGGTGCCCCAGCGCCCAATGCAAATGCGAAGGCAAAGTCCAAGGCTAAAGCAAAGGCGAAGGCTATGACTGATGCAGAGAAAGCGAAGACTCCTTGCATTTTCTTCCAGATGCCGTCAGGGTGCATTCATGGAGACAATTGTAAGTTCAGTCACAAAGCCACTGCACCGAAATCGAAAGCTAAAGCCAAGGATGGAGCCAAGAGCAAACCTGGGGCAGTAGCGAAAGCTGTCGTTGCGCTTGTTGCTGCCTCTAGCTTGTGTACCCCTGTCACCTCCGCTGGTCCGTCTTATGCTGTCGAATGGGCTGCCGACACTGCAGCTGGTCGCCACTTAGGTTCGGCTAAAGCTTTGTTCGACCAAGGGATTCCTCGTGACGCCTTCGACCGGTTCTTAGGTGCGTCTAAGTCTCCCGTGACTTTTCATACCGGCGGTGGTCCCGAACCTGGTGTGCAGACCCTTGGCTTCGAGTCTGACAACATGGATTTCGCGAATCATTACATGTTAGACAGTTGCCCTTTGGTCAGAAGCACAGGGATTGATGTTGATTCCGGGAAAGCCTTCATCTGGCTGCCCGGCAGTTTACCTTTCTTCGTTAGCGATGTTTCGCAGCTCGTTGTGCAATGTCCTGAGAAGTTTCGACATTATGCAACTCGCGTAGAAGAGCATGTTCCGATTTTCACCAGTCAGGTGAAGTTTACTCACGGGGCACCAAACCCTGTAAGTGACCTTTCAGGGGGGTGTGAGAGCGAGGGTTCGGCTGCTGTCCCAAGCGCCATCCGATGCTCAGAGAATCATCCTGCTGAAATCCGAGCCCGCCAAATCTTGAGTTCTGGCGGCAGCATCAGCTGTCGTGCGGTTCGCAAATTGTTTGGTCTTGTTGACAAGGAACCTGCTGCTAGAGGTGATCATGGGGAATCGTTCTCGACTGGACTTTATCGGTTGGGTGGAGCTCTTGGACTTAGGACTTCAGCCCACCGGTTTCCCTTGGTTACCAAAGCTCTCAACAAGTTTGCATGTTCGAAGCTTCCTGGCTTTGGATACACGACCCTTTGTATAATCAGCAACGTTACAACAGGTCCTCACAAGGATTTCCACAACGCCAATCTTGACAATGCCGTCATCTCCTTGGGTGGATTCTCAGGAGGAGGCGTATGGATTGAAGATTCAGGGGGGACAACTCCGTGTCCTGGTGATCCTGACAAGCTTGGAAAAGTCCTTAGCTTCAAGAACGGCATTATCAGGTTTAGAGCTAAAAGTTTTACGCATGCCACTATGCCATGGAAAGGCGACCATGTCGTAGTGGTTTTGTTCTCTGCAAAGCATCCTTCAGAAGTCAAAGAATCGCACTGTGAAGAACTTCGTGCTCTGGGCTTCCCAATCGACTCTTGTGAAGAGCCACTGCCGGCCTATGCTGCTGAGGCTCCCGAGGGTTCGGCTGCTGATGCGCCACCCGAAGGGCCTGGCGTTGACGCATCTGCTGAAGGTGTTGGGGAAGTTGAACTGGATGATGGAGCAGAGGATAAGGTTCCGGAGAGAATTCGGAAGCTTAGGGATCAAGCGATGTCGCTTGAGCACAGGTTGTTCCACTTCCCGAAGAATCCTTTCTGTGATATCTGTAATCAAGCTCGCATGCTTTCGAGGCGTGTGCGCAGGAAGCCTCGTGATGCTGAGGAAGAATCAGATCCATTTGAAACTTCAGAGTTTGGAGAAGTCATTGCCGCTGATCACATTCACGTGTTTAGATCGCCGGACGACTCCGATGCTCTGGACAAGTCTTATGTTGTGTTGTGCTTGAGGGATAAGCACACTGGTTTGTTTGCAGCATACCCTGGAAATGATCGTTCAACCAGTGCCATCGTGACTGCGTTGAGAAAGTTTGTTGGACGCAGAACTTGCTCAAAGCCGGTGACCTTAGTATCTGATGCGGCTGATGAGTTCGAAGCCGCGGCAGAAGAAATGGGATGGATCTCTTCACCATCTTTGCCTAATCGTTTTCCCCATAACGCTCAACTTGAGCGGGAGATTAGGACCTTCCAAGAGGGCGTGAGATCATCGTTCCTTGAAGCCGGGTTTTCGATCCGTCCCGAGTTGTGGCCCGCTGCTTGTCGTTATGGTGCCACTGCCTTGAATCTGACATTGCCTTCCCCGCAAGATGAGTCACTCTGTAGGTGGGATTTTAACATTGAGGATTCAGGCAGGGATGAAGTATGCATCAGAAAGCTGATTCTCGGCCAGCTTGTGTTTTACCGGCATAAGCATGAAAGTAAGTTCGGCCCAAATGCTGCACCAGGATTGTTCGCAGGGTGGCGATTGGAACCAGGTGGCATTTACCGTGCTGTGACCCTTGTGCTTGACTTAGAAAAGCTTCGTTCCAAGATCGGCGCTTGGGCTGAGCCGATCAGTGTTCCGGAGGCTGAGCTTTACGTTCGATCCGGTGACCCTGTGTTTCCTCTTCGCAACGCTGCGGAGTATGCGCTGTTGACTTTTGCCGAAGAAGGCGAAGTGCCTGCTCAAGACCCTCTTCCGATTCCTTTCACGCCGCAGGTCTTCACAGAGCAAGGCGAAAGGAAGAAGCTTCGTAGGATTTACATCACGTATGCCCGGTTTCGTAAGATAGGTCCCACGCCTGAGTGCCATGCTTGCGACAACGACAAAAGCAACCACAATGCTGAGTGCATTGCAAGGTTTGAGAAGGCTTTTGGTAGAGAAGCTAAAGCTCCTGAGACTCCAGTTCCCAAAGAGTTCTTGTCGTATGAAGAGCTTCAGCTGCCTAGACCTCCTCCTCGTCCCGAGGGAGATCATCTCTCGGACTATGAGCCGTCAGAAGCTGGTCCTGATGATCCTCCGGCTTTGCCTGCGGTGTTTCGACATCAAAAGCCTGGTGCTCTTGTGTTGTTTGAGATCGTGTCCCACAGTCCAATCTGGCCAACATTGCCAAAGGATCAGGCGTTCAGGTGATTTCGATACCATGTGACCGAGTTGATCTGTC